AGCTCTAACAAGTAAAAAAAAAAAAAATAAAGAAAATATATACACAGGTGAAAAATAAATGGGTGGAAGCTGAAAAAATATTATATGAAAGAATCGCTGAATATTCACAGAAGAAAATAATCAAGTCAGTCCTTGTTGACAGATAGCTGTAGATGAAAGGAAGGAAAAGAAGGAAAGTTTGCTTTCCCAGTTAACCTTTATGTTTCCCCATTATAATGCTGTATGAGTATCTGCTGGCAAGCTCAAAACTCAGCCTCTTAAAACTTTAATTACAGGATCCTGATGTGAACTTTCTAAAATACTGGTCCTTCATTTATCAGTTGGCTGCTCTAATACTAAGCCAGCAACACAGGGGATATGACCACYAATAATTAAGAAGCCTTGCTGCTGGGGTTAAGAAACCACTTATCCGTCAGATGAACAAACGCCAACTTAAAGAGACTGGAATCTAACATAAAAAAACAGCTTTACCTTTTGAAATACCAAGGCATCAGGAAACATGCCTGAACAACCAAAAGACTCCTACAATATCATTAGTTGTAGCCGCCACACATTATTATTCCAGATTTAATGGTGGAATAGGACCAAGACCCTCAAAATTTCAGGTTTTGTGCTGCCAGACATAAAAGATTACATGCTAGCTCAGAGCTACATGCCATCAGCATCCAACAGGAAGTTTCAGTTTACTCCACAGCTGCTGTCAACACCACCTACAATATATATATATACACATACAGATATATATAGAAATTTATAGATACATAGAGAGAGCTGTGACATCCTGAGCATCCAATCCCCTAACCTTTCATTTGAGCAAGTTCTTCTCGCTGATGTTGTTGCTTACTCTCCTGTTTCAGAAAAATACTACTTAAAAAAAGCTAATACAAAGGTCTCAAAGCATAAACTCAAATGCCTTAGAGACAAGGCCTGTCTCCAGCAAACTAGTTCTTTAAAACATGGTACAAGTGTACAGTTTCTTTGTTTGGTTCAGTTTATGTTCTTTTTTTTAGTTCCATTGAATTAACTGATCCAAAGAGGAAACAAACAAATGAAATTTGCCGCATCAGAATATAAGGAGTAAATAATTTTATGCACCAACCACAAATACAACAGCAGTCACACTAGGTCAGACACAGGACTSTCTATCCAAGCAATGGAGAAACAGCCAAAAGCAGATGGCTAGGAAAAGAGGAGTTTTGAAACATGGCAAGCATATGATACTTCTCCCAAGAATTCCTACATCTGTGGCTCATTTGTTTCCTTGAGTTGAATGCAACTTCCAAATAACTTCTCTCATAATCATCAAATTGGAAAACAGGAAACGTTGAACTATTTGCCATGAGGATTTGCATAAAAAACAGTCAAGTCTGACAACTTCTGCACACCAATTTTACATGGCTTGTGGATAAGAAYCTAAAAGATTTCGACTAGACTAAGCACCTGACTTTTCAGCTGATAAGATAAGGAGGGGTGTGAATGTACAGCTAAGAGAAGAGTTCTCCTTAGAATAACTGATTTACACTTCAAACCTAACTTGGTAGAACAGGTCAGGTGTRCACACTGTGGTTTAATGAGTGATAACAACACAGAAATGCACATTTTAAGCACTGTGGTAAGCAATTATAATTCTTCCAAGGAAAACAAGATTTGTCTAAATATCAGGAAGTAATGCAAAATCAATAGAATGATAGTGAAAACGACACRCATTTTAAATAATTCAGAAAATCAGCAATTAAACTTGTTTAGTACTAGTATCCATGCATACTTAATTTTTGATCGATCATCACTACTACAGATATTCTCATCAATCACTGAAGTCTAATTGTGCACAAACATCACTTTGTGATCTCATCAATCACTGAAGTCTAATTGTGCACAAACATTACAGGAATGAAGCTTCAGTGTATTAATTCTTAAGTTGTTACAGCCAAATGCCTAACCAATACTAGAAAAAACACATAACCATACAATCAGAACAGCAAGCAAAATACAGGGGACTTCTACAGAGGTAACAGTCCCCAAAACAATGCCAATGTGCAACAACAAAAATAAACATACATTCACATACTAAATAAAACATGAATGGAGAATATTTTTAAAAATCTATGTATTCCAGCTTACCTTAYTTAATTATGCATTGAACTAGTACAGTAGTTACTACCATGCACCCCCTAATTTTTCTAGGTCAAATCTTCCATATTTCTACATCATACATTGTATAAAGTTCTACTGAGGCATTAAAACAGACATTCTGAGCTGGCACTCAGTATTCAGTTAGGTGGGATGGGTGCAAACTTTGATCCATGTTTTTGTCATTGTYGTGCTAAAGAATTTTAAATCTCCTGGATGACTGTTTCTTGCTGGATTTCTCTATACATCTATACATCCATAATTAATGAAAACAATGCATCTATACATGACAATCCTAAAACTTTTTCACAAGAATTCAGTAGTTAGCAACATCAGGTTAATAAACAGACAAAAAAGCTAAATTTTAAACTCCTCCTTACTACACATTCCAAGCTTACTTGGTACCCACCTAGAAGAGATAAGACAATGGGACTACAGAAAGATAAGAGGTGCAGGCCAGTGTCTCCAGACACATTGAGGCCAGCAAAAGCAGAAGGTCCACACAAAAAAACAAAAAAAAACCAAAAAAAAAACAATAATAAATAACAGCAACTTTTGAATTCCCTTGTGACTTAACACCAGAGTTACAGTGTCAACTAGGTCCCTTACTTCTTCACCAGGACAGCAGAAAGCACATATGAGCCCTGGAAGCTTCTGTTTCTGCCAAGATTAATGAGAGCTGTTAATAAACAAAAGCCCACAGACCCCAAGAGTCTAGCCCAGTTTTGGCAACTTCCATGATTCTTGAAGAGCACCAGTGAACAGGGAGACAGTGCAAGAGTCCTTGCCTACCTCTGAAACACMAGGGAGGAGACAGCTGGGCTCAGTGCTAACTCCAACAACAGAGAAGAATGAGGAAGATGTATTATGCCGCCCCGTTACAATACTGCAACACTTTTCAACTGTTGCTCTACAGCTTCAACAGTTCTGCTCCTGAAGYCCTGCCAAGCCTTGAGGAGCAGCAGGAACTTGTACTGCAGTGCTGTGCATTGGCAGTGGCCCTGCTGCAGGGGGAAGAGGGAATTGTGGCCACTGGGAAAGCGCTTGTTGAGCTCTGAGCACTTGCATTGTCCAGGGACAGGTATCACCTGAGTGCTTCTTCTGGCATGTGGAGAATCCACCTCTGGAGCTCTCCAGAGCCCACATACAACTGTAACCTGATTCCTCAATTAACACAGAATAAAATACTGTAATAAGAATAACTGACTGGAAAAAGGGGTTCTAAAACCACTAGCCAAGCCTTGGAGGGACTTATTATGTATAATAAAAAATATAGAAGGGTGTAATAGAAATTACCAAGGAACAATCTCACCATAACAGATAGTTTTTCTATTAAATAAAGCCCAGTGCTAATCACCCACAGAGGTCTGGCTTACTAGAAACAAGCAGCAACTGCCCATGAGAGACTCCACACAGTAACACACATCAATCCCAAAATTAAAGTAGATTAAAAAAAAAAAAAACCCAGCAGAGAACATAGAAAGTATATTTAAAACAGAGCTACTCCAAGAGAGCTTTCATGATAGCAATAGATTACTAAAGGCCAGAAGCACCTCCTCTCTGCGCTTCCCGAAAGTGTTTCTGTGTAACTCTTTGGCAGTTTCATTTCTCCCCTTCCTTCTTCTCAATTCCTGACACAGGAAAAGCCATTTTGGACGACATTGTGACATGAAGTGACACAGCAWATGAACTTCCCTCCCAAATTTCATCAAAAGGAAACTGGAATATTGCATGATGCTGCAGCTCCACATGTTTCACGTGGACATATAATCTGAATTCTTCATGTCGCCACTAATCAATTTTTTTACAGGGAAACATGAAAACCAAAAAAAATTTAACACGATCATTTTTCCAAAGAATAACTTAAAGGCAAGGGTGTCTGTTGACTTCATTTTGCAGGACATTCTGGTCCTTTACATGACAGAGAGGAGTTTCCTGACTTAATAACCGAGAGCAAGACACTCATATAACTTAGACCTCAGCCACCTTCTCCGGTCTGTGCTCTCCTCCTCCAAACCACAACCCASGCTCACTCCTGCATCCCGGAGATGCTTCCTGCCATAAGACTGGGTCAGACAGCCCCTTTGTGCTGTCCCAGACAGAACCTGCCGGCAGGCCCTGCTCTCTGTGCGCCGATTCCTCTCCGCTGCGGGGAAGGGAACGCCACGTCTGAGCGGCTGGCAAGCGACACAGCGTCTGGCAGTCCGAGTGTGACACCAGCTCATGTCAAACTCAGCAGCACACAACGAGAAGAGATGGACAGTACCTGTAACCTCTCTAATTCCTGCCTGAACTTGCAATCAGTAGCAATCTACTCGGGTAAAAGAAAGCAAACAGGCACCGCAATCTTTCCTACACATCCACATATCGCCAAGCAATTCCAAAAATACCGTGGAYGAGCAGTTGTAAGGTCCCTCACGGCTCGTAAAAAATCGTGTTTCTTTTCAGACTTTGTCCTGCCACCAAACCCTGTGCTTCAGGCACTGACTGTAGGGCAGTCCCGAAACAAGGCGATAAGCTGCGGGGCAGGGCTCCCGGCGCCGGCCTGCCCCGCCGGGACACCGCGGAGTCACCTCTGCATCTCCCGCCCGCTGGACGGAAAGGCGACGCTGTCCCGAGCGAGGGCAGCTCACCGCAATCYTTCCCATCAGCTCGTGCATTAGGGCCGAGCCAAAACTGTGGAGAAGAAAGCCCGAGACATTTCAAAGCGTGGAAGGTGGCGGGGGCAGCGCCGCTCTCTCCGGACCCGGAGGAGAGGGACAGGCCGGCAGCAAGCACCCCGCGAGTTTCGGGGAGCCCCGTTCCGCCGGGAGCCCGCGGGCCGGGCCCCATCCCCTCCGTGCCGCCTCCCGTGCCGGGGTCGCGCTCACCCGCGGTRTCCCAGATGGAGATGTTGTACGGCCCCCACTGCTTCAGGTAGAAGGCGCCGCCGACGGTGCTGACCGTCTCCTGGAAGCGCCKCTCCATGTAGCGGTGCAGCAAGGAGGTTTTGCCCACGTTCATGTCCCCCAGCAGCACCACCTTCCCGTCCGGCTTCTTCATCGCGGCTCCGCTGGGTTCCCCGCCGGCGGCCGCTCCCGCCCCCTTCCCCGGCCMGGCCCGSYCCGCTCCGCCCGGCGGGGCCCCGGAAGCGGCGGGACGAGGGCCCAGAGCCGCCTCCACCGGCAGCGCAAACTTCGGGGGCTCCGCGGGAGCCGCCGCGATCCGGCCCCGGCTCCGGCTGCTCCTCCTCCCCCGCCCCCGKCCCGGCCCCGCTCCCGCCCCGCCAGGGGGAGGAGACGCGGGCGGGGAAGCGGCGGGAGCTCGGCGGATCGKCCGCCCCGGCCCTGTCCCGGAGGAGCCGGGTGAAGTGTCCCGGCCGCCCCCGGGCAGGGTGGCCGCTGAGCGGCTGCCGAGAAGCCGGTACCCGCGGSGGTGGCGGGGCCGAGCTCGGCCGCGATGAGCCTTCAGGGATGGTCGCGCCCTTCCCGCTGGACAGACACCATCCCCGCAGCCCTCCTGGAGCCCAAGGGAGAGCCCGCTCGTCCCGCTTCCTTCCTGAGGTGTACATGGAGGGGCAGAAACTTGCTCCGAAATTAAGATGTCTCACAGAGCTGTGGCAGCTGCCAGGCAAACACCTTTACCCTGGTGAGAGGGAGGTATCGAGCATTATTCTCCAAGGGCCAGGTCTGCTCARTTTCACAGTCAGTTGCTCAGCTGCTGTAATTCAGATTAATTCCATTATAGGTGACAGAATTGCAATCATTGAAATTACCCAGAGATTTAGCCTATCATTTTTGTGTCAGTCCTCCTTGTGCCAAAGAAATCTGGAAAAAATTATATAAATATGCTATAAATTTGGGGCAAAGAAAGGGATAATGTGTAGACCAACTGGGGGAGGGTGGGAGAGAGGAACAACTATTACAGTATTCTGAAGCAGATGTTARTTTCCTGTCTCTCCCCACAGGAAAGTGTTCAGATAGAAGCACTTTTCTTAAAGAGTGAACACGCATCCTCATTCTTGCATGTCTCATTTTGAAAATGCTAGAATTTATTTAGCCAGTCTAGGCTTCGTATTTATGAGATGCTTTGATTTTGCCTWCCTGCTAAAAAGGATTAGCTGTGTGACAGTGTGGGTTTTTAARGCCATGCCTACTTGCCTTTTCTTTTTCTGCTTTTACTGACCAGATTTGTGGTTTTGCAGCTGCRCCCAGTGATATGTAATTTCAGTTCAGAATCACATACACTCCAGATATTAAAGTACTGGAGATAACCGAAGAGAGGAGTATGTTAAGTGGCTAGGTAAAAAAAGTCTTACAAATTACTTCAAAATATTAATATGGGATGTGATTCAGGGCTGTGTGCAGTACTATTTAAGGGGGGAATTATTGCACTTSGATAATTGTGCAGCATTATTTTTCTGTGGCATATGCAGCCTTTGCCTCAGATGCCCATTTTCTGCCTGGATAACCAACTCACTGTCATGGTTGGGAAAAATATACTCATTGAATCAAAGTGCTTCTCTTTGCATGCTGCAAAGCAAGTAGGTTTCTTCTGGTGCTTGGTATAAAAGTGTAAAAAGAACAAAAATTCTCTTTATATGGAGACTGCTTGCAAATTCCCATRTGCAATATGTTACACCTTTTTGATGTGGTAGATGCCATTTCAGAAAGAGAAAAGAAGAGTTTTGTATCAAAGAGTTTAGACCATAAGGATCTTGCACCTGTAAAAAAATCCTCACCTTATGAATCGTTTTATTGCCCACAGAATAACAAAACACCTAAAAATTTAAACACAGTTATTGATTTGCAGCAGTGTTTTGCTACCAAATCCTAGCAGTTAAAGCACTTAAAGCAATTATTTATGAATTTTACCAAAATTCTGCTGCACTTGAATTATTTTCAAGTACTAGTGAAATGTAGGTCTTTCTGGTGTTCAGAACAAATATCAATAGTTTCTTCTAAAAGTAAGCAGAAAAGTTAGGGCAGGAAACAGTCTCAATAATAGGGTGTAAATGGAACTGGGATTTTAGGCTTTGTTAATAACATGCACTATAGAAAGAGAAGCTTGCTCCCTTCACAGATGTTATCCACAGTTTCTTGAAACACACACCTACATCCCCATGTATTTGAACTGGTGTATTTCCAGCTAGCAGCAGTCAGACAGACAGAGGACTCTCCCGGAAGTGTCACCAGCCAAATTTCACTGATGGCAATGTATTTCTTTTGTATGTTAAAAGTGGCCTAGGTTAATGAGGCGCCAAATTCATCTGGTGCAGTACTGGTTTGGACCTGGTGCCACAGCTAACAGCTCTCACTCAGCCAGGGGTGTTCATTATCCTACTAGTATGCTTATCCCATTCATTGCTTCCTTGAAGCGTCATCTCTGTTTCACAGCAATCTATTCCTAATAATCAGGTGCAATGGGATCAGAGGGTACTGCATGTTGTTTCAGATCCTTGGGAGAATCTAGGACAGTGGTGAGGTGAACAGGTTCAAGGTATGTAGAAGGACTCCTGAGGTAAGCCCTTAAAAATTCAGATTGTGAAGTCCTCAGCAGTCTAAGCTCCCACTGACCTCAGGAAAATATGCTCACTAGGAAGAGCACAGTGTGTTTTGTTATTACTGCCGACATCTTCTTGGATGAATGCACGCCGAACTGCAGCATACAATTTAAGTCACCTCTTGTTAAAGTCAAATAGTTCATGATAGTCTGTAATGCAATATAAATAATAACAGAGCATATGTGAAAATATTTGGGAAAACATTAGGAGCCTGTAATTTGCTCTCTAGCACTCAGATGTATTGGTCTGTTGCGAGATGATTTCCACAAATCACAGTCATCTGTGGCAAGAGGTCTCCACAGTATTTAGTATAGGCACAAAGAATGTCAAATTGCTTGATGGGAAAGAATATTGAATGCTTTACTCTCTARGTACTGCATGTATGTGGACTACATACATTGTCTGGTGATTATTTTCCGTTTTAGAGCATTTGAGGGCACCTTTAATTACAATAATATTGTTCATTAGCCTTCCTGACAGCATGGCAACGTGCTCGCCGTGGTTGGTCTCTTTTCTTTCATTTGGTTCTGAGATTCAGACACTTGGATTAGGATACAGAGTGGGACAACCCATTTAAGTTTCCTACCGACTTCTGTGCTAGGGAAAGACCCTCCCAAGAATAAGAATGTTAGCCTTGTACACAAGCCAAAAGCCTGAGCCAATAATGACTGTAATGACGTCAGGGTAACTCAACCTTTTTAGTCTCCCGCAGTATGAAAGCTGCTTAATATTGCAGAGGAAAATTAGAGCCTGTTTGTTTCCTTGTCTCCCTTCCCTAGGTATTTATATACATTGTCCTGCCTATGGTCCTCATTTGGTCTTCAGGCTAACAATATTTTGTAAGTTCACACAAGGTGAAATGTTTGTCACAGAACAGGGTTGTTTTTTTGCTGAGCTGATCTTATTTTGGAGGCAAATTGAGCAAGTAGTTCAAAGGACATGTCGTGTCAGCTACAAACTGCTGCCCCCAGCGTGTCACAGGTGTGCTGTGGGCTTGGTGTTCAGCCCCTCAAYCTGCCTCTTTTTTGTCCTCTGGCAGTGTCTCTGTGTTTTGGCATGTTGAATCTCCATGACCAGATGTGTGCTTTCTGGAGATACCACAGGGAACCTCAATGGGATTGCTTGATAAAGGTGATACAAACTCATCCTGCTTGTARAACATGGAAGAATCCGTAACTTAGAGCCCCATATCTCAGTTATCTACTGAATCCTAGGCAAGCCTTTACAAACCAAAGAGAAGGACAATGAGGGAGGTTTACTCCTTGTCCTTAATACGTGCTGGCACACAARCGCTTTGTTGCATCTCTTCTTGAAGCATGAGGTCACTGCAGAAGCTATAAACAGGTACCATTTGGTGAACCACAGCAATTTCGGGTTTTGTTTCTKCTTATTGCCTTCCTTTATGACTTCTTTCTTCTAAATGAGCAAATGAGTATGCATGCTCATTAAACAGAAATATTTACCCTCATTATCTTCCAGACAGCTGTAACCAGAGTCACTCCAAGGTGCTTTCTTTCCGGCTACAAAGTCTGAAATATGTAGACARAGCAGTGGCCATGYGATGAGTAGTTGTGYAGCCTGAAAAAACTAYTCATCACATGGCCACTGCTCTGTCTACGTATTTATTCTAATGTATATTGGGTTCTTCCACTTCACCCCACAGTTCAGTCCACAATCTAGATGCCATAATCAAGGGAAATTACCTGTACTGTAAGAGTTAGTCTGCTTTCTCCACGGTTGCAGTTCCATGTCTTTCTCCCTCTCCTTTTTCCAGAGTTTTCCTTAGGCTGTCACTGGCTTCAGCTTGACCATTCGCTAGGACAATTGAGCTTGATGAGCTGATGAAAAACTAGCTAGCAGTGACAGTGAGTAGTTCTCTGCTGGTTTTGTTGTGGGCACAGAGCAGGCTGGTGAGGCAGCCCATATTTGGAGCCACTGTGCTTCAGATGCCCATATCTTCAGTTGAGCAGCCCTGGCTGCTCACAGACCTTTATTTTCCCTTAACAAGTGTCGCTGCTCTACCTCCTCTTAAAACCTTTCAGGTTTTGGAGCACTTCAGTTGTAGGACTGCTTACTTTCACCAGGATTGAAAAAGTGTTTCACTGTTTAACTTCTGCCTGGTCAGTGTCTGAATCACTGAATTACAGTGAGATGATAAACCAKCCAGGTTAAGACATCCTTATCACAGAAAAGCCTAACCTGTGTGATTCCAATTTGCCTRTGTTAAAGGCATCAAGCAGCAGGTCTCAGATGGAAACCACAAAGCAATCTGAGCTATAGATATGGCCACTGAGTGGGCAAAAGTAAACTCTTCCTGATGCACAGGTGCTAGAGATGAAAATAGAGCTCAGGAGAAACTCCCCACCCAAGTCTTCCATAGGAAGTKAGTTTAGTCTTTGTTGTTGGCACTGTGTGGAGGGAGCAGCCCTGCTGTGCCCATGCCACCAGACAGATCGATTCTCTCCTTGCTAGTACCTCCTGCTCACCAAAATCATAKGAGCCCTCCTGCATTTTGTACTGATCTAGACAGACTGATGAGTTTTCCTATATGAAGGAATCAGTTGCTCTGGTTTTTCTAGACTTTCTGATATAAAAGAAAACTTTTTTTTTCCCTGAATTTCAGGGAGCTTACTGTGGATATACTCTCCAAATGACACAGAAATATAGAACTGGAGATTCAACCAAAAAGTAAGCAGTTGTGATTCAAAGTGATCACAATGCCAGAAGTTCTGATAAATGCAAAAAATAAAAGTTTTGCATAGATAGCACTTGCTTTAACGGCAGCATTTTAAGATCTARTCAGACTCCAACAGCATATGAGAATCCAAGAGTGTCCTGCTGTCATGTTCCTGAAGTTTAATTGGGCACTGTGTGTGGATGTGTACAGATGTACACATGTGCTTACAAGAAGTTAGAGAATTCTAGCCTAAAAAAATGTATTAAGTTTTCACTCTTCTTGGCATAATGAAGGAGATAGGGTAAGTTAGCTGGTAGTAAGACAAAATTTGCTTTAGTTCTTATAAACTCATTAAGATTCTTGTCCATGATAAGCAGACCCATGTTTCTAGGAGACATCCTATGGACTGCAGCAGCCCGCAATGGGAATGTGAGTGCAGATTTGGCA